CTGTAGTTTGACAGTCTGTTCGATGTTGCTCTGCCTCTGTATCTATTTTTGCTCATCAGTTTATAATGGTCTTAATTATCCATAAATGAGTGAGATCATGTGGTATTTTTCTTTCATTGACTGGCTTATTTCACTTAGCAAGGGCACTCACTTCTAACACGAATATCACTAGGGCCTAAGAAATGAAGCTGGAGACATGTCAGTGAGCTAACATCATTTGTTTATCTGAGGGCGATCCAGTTTGCTCACAAACATGCAGTCTGATTCAGCATCTGCATCTGCAAATGGACTGAGCTCACAGGTGATGCCAGTGCTGCTACGGAGCACGCCTTGAGTCCCAGGGAGCCCACATGCTGCAGGGCCAGGTGGTGGGATCTTTGGCCTGTCCTGACAGGCCTTGTTTGGACTACTTGGGCCACTACCTCCAAATGTGACTGGGTAGGACCCACAGTGGTTCCCACAGGTAGGAAACCTAAAATCTCAGATAAGAATGTACATTAAAAATACACACACACACACAGGCACCACAAACATTCTTAGTCTCTCTTACCTTTAGCTTGTCACTGAGGAGGAGGGACAACTCAGCCTCTGTCCCTCCCTGGTAATGCCGAGGGTTAGCCCCACTCCTCCACAGCCTGGACAGAGCAGTTCGGGCCTTATCACTCTGGTCAGAGGGTGGGGCAGGGCCCTGGCTGTCCAGAGCGTGGGTGTTTGCGGAAACACGAAGGTAACCACCTACTTAGGAACTGGGGACTGTGTCCGGCAACCCCCTCTCCTCACACTGCTAGTGATGCAGAAACAGGATGAGATGGTGACAAAAGATATTTTAAATTATTTATATGCAGCCCCTTAGCAAAGGCATTCAGCAATGCTCTCGTCTCACCATGGCATCTGTATACTCCCTCCCTCATATCTGTCATATTTATACAAACTGGTTCCGTAAGATTTTTTAAGTGTCTATTTCTTTAATTTTTAAAATACACACAGGAGAAGCCATGTGTTTGATATAGAAATACACACATTGACAAAGTATTTCTTACAGTTCCCAAAACTCTATCAGTCTGAAATTTATAAATTAAATATATCAGAACTTTTTAAAATGAAATCCCTGAAACTACTAGATATGCTAATGCTAGACTTTTTCCAAAATCAAATGAACCGAGAATATGAATATGGTTTGTGTTAAATAAGGTTTATTTTTAGCTTTATTGCCTATTGTCTATAATATGCAACTTTATTGTGCCTTTGCAAACAGGATACATTGCTTAAAAAACTGATCAAAATTTTCCATACATATAGCTCTATATAATAGATTACAGTGCAACACTATTCTTGTTACATAATTATAGAAATACTATAGAACCCAAGAGCACAGGGTAAGCAAAAGAAATACAATCCTGAGCCATCTGAACAAGATGATTTGATGAGTCCTTTTAGTGTAAGTTAGAGAACACAGAGGGGGGAACATGCACACTGCAGTCATGAGCAAAATACATTAAATACCTGCTCCTTGCTAGACACAGGTGGGGGTCATGGTGAATTTCAGAGACATGCACACTCACTCACACTCCCATTTTTTTTCTCCTGCTTCCCTCCCATCCCCAATACATTCACTCCCACCCCTTCCCAAAAGAAAAGATCAGGCACTAAATCCTAGTGAACCCCACATCTGCCTCGTTGGAGAATGTTACGTGACTGCTAAAATAAGAATAGGTCCTCACCCATATCATGAAACAAAGCGTGTGCTATTGAGTCAATTCCAGCTGCTTTTGCCTCTTTGGAAGTAAATGAAGCATACGCTCACTGCGGTTAAAACTGTGTAGAGGGAAATGTCCTGAAAACAGAACTTCGTTTTCTCTCCCTGTGTGTAGAAGTAAAATCAACAGTGGAAAACTCGCCTACAACTAGTTGCCTCATCTGCTATTAAAATACATTTGTCATTCTATTTTTGGTATCTACTCAATTATAGTTCAATAAACAGTCCATGAAGTTTGTACCTGCTTATGGCAAACACTATTGTACCCCATAAAACCCCCGCAGCTGGCCAGGCTTATGAAGTACCGAGGTGAGTATCCTTGCTAACACTCCCTCACGACCGCAGCATTCTAGTGTTACCAAAGAGAATGTATGTAGTTAAGTAATGAGAGATATTTGGTTTGTGTCTTTACCTTACACATCCTAGTGATGAATTTAACCAAATCATGCCTCCACGTCTTCCCTGAAAATAACCTGAGTCTTCTGACTAAGATAGCTGACCAGCTTGGCTGGCAGTCCACTCGGTCAGAGGTTGAGCTGGAAAACCAGAGGGCTAACGCCTACCAGCAGCTTGCCGTGTGCAGGTAACCAAGAGTTCTTGGTTTCTGTAGTCTCTCCCATCCCAAAGCGGAAGTCACTGAGGTGGAAATAACTCACAGCATAGAGAATACTGAACGCCAACGGCATAACCTGTGGGACTCCCTGGAGACAAAAAAGGATCCTCGTTCCCCACAAACCTGGTGTGGGTCTTAGTGTCTCTGTGTACAAAGCTGCTTCAGAAAAATCAAAACAAAAGGTTGACTTCATAATTTTCTTATTTTCAATTAAATGCTCATGCACTCATAAAATACTCACACATCCTATGAATGTGAGGTGGCTCTTTTCTCAAAATTTTAAAATCAAGAGGCACCAATACCCGTTCATTTATGTATTAGAAGTCTCACATTATCACCATTAAAACAACAGAAATGGCATCTGTGATGATCACACCACCGAGAAAGAAGACTGAAAGACAACTTCAGCCACTGTGCTTCAGACTGGGAAGCACAGATGCTCTGGCTGAAGCAGAATCTAAGGACCTAGTAAGGTTTTATTGGTTTAGTATAGTCCATGACTGATAAATGGAAATGGCTCCTACAGGAATTTAAACAACCACTCTGAATTGGTTTTCAATGTACATTATTTTAAAGAGTCTGACTGTAAGAAACCTTGGTTTTATCGTGACCTTTTGCAAGTGGAAGGCAGAGTGTGGCGAAGGGCGTCCTCCAGCACCGCTGACCTCCGCAGCCCCGGTGACATGGTGCGGCCAGCTCTGGTGAAGGTGTTACTGGAGTAGGAAGGACCGTGTACTGTATTTCAGTATCTTTGGTTAAGATCTGGCCTCTTCAAGGCCACCTCTCCTTCACATTTAATCACCAGTAAATTTTAAGTCCATGCATTTAGTTAAGGATCACAAAACATAATTTTCATGTTAAATAATCAGATCAAGAGTTTCAAATTTTTGGCCCTAACCCTGTCCAGTAGGACTACAAGGACCTTGCACGGAAACTGTCAACAGGATTCCCAATACTGGGAGAGGGACAAAGCAGAGCTCTGGCTTTTGTCCCCGAAAGTGGCCTGAGACAACTGAGTCCCTGGCTGCCAAAAATATTTACCACCAGCCTCTAAAGCAATGTGTCTGTACTGTTCAAATCTTGTGTGAAGCCTTGTGTGAAGCCTAAATGCCGTGTAGGTGTCTGAGATGGTAGGTGAGAATAAAGCTAAATCTGGCTTAGAAAAGCTAAAAAAAAAAGACACTCTGGGTTTTAAGTCAAAAGAAAAAATAAACCAGTTTTACGTCCTCAACCAGAGTACTGCCTTGAATTTTCTACCTTCTTTTGGAGTCCAAGGAGCTTCTCCCCACTTTCCTCCTTCACTGCGAGAGTGGAGAGAAGGGAACTTTAGAGAGGGTTGTAACAGGAAAGCAGAAACACTGCGCAAGAGTTGCTGTGGGGATACGTTTCGGGTCGAACAAAGCAAGCACTCTGAGCAGGCTAAGCACGATTCCTGGCTCATCTACACAGCTCACAGTAGCCCTCCACCTACGCCTGGCCACACACGCCAGTCAGGCAGGGCTCTCTGTAATACCCCAACTTTATAAACAAAACCCAACTCCCCAAGGTACACACTTCAGGACAAACCAGCCAGGCTGGTGTATTACTGCAAGTGCTGCCACCTTCCAATTAACTTAGCACCAAATCCATTCCCCCTTCTCCCCAACCTAAGTCAATCTGTAGTTTAAAAAGTGAAGTGTCATGGTTCTCTTTGCTTGTTTTCTTCTTTTTTCGTTTTCTCATGAAAGTTTTCCTATACTGATGTTCAGTTCCATGTCAGATGAAATAAAGTTGCAAAATATTTGGTGATATCCATATACCATTCTTCTTATAATGAAGTAACATAACAGGTTTGTCAGAATTATGTCCTCGGAAGTCTTTTCCATGTAGTTCATCATACAGAGAAAGACTCTTACACATGGCTATTTCTGGAAAGTGCATTAAATGAAGATACCACACAAGAGAAAAGGTCATTGTGTATCCATTAGAATAATATACAGGTTCACAGTCAATGAGATGATACACGCTGCAGGAGAGGCATTGAACAGTATACTATTCAAATACAAAAACAGCAATAAACATATTCTGCACTACAGAAAATTCGCTAGATTCTAACTTTAAGGATTTAAAGTAATGACTCTGGTGGCTGCATTTTAGGACTGGAACATGCTTCTCCCCTTCCAGATGCACAATGTTTGATGCTGGTGCACATCTACACACACACAATACTGTGTCTGCATGGTATACAAATGCAATGGACAGCCAAGTCCTGAAGGCAAATTTCAGAGCACAGGGCTACTAAGACCAAGGGAGCAAATATCAACTTAACACTTCTAACTTCAGAATTTCATTTTATTGAACACACTTTTAAAACAAGCACCTCTTGGCAATAAAAGCATAGAAACAATAGTGCTCCTTCCACTCTATTCTAGCGGAAGACTTCTCACATCAACCTGCTAAATTCATGATGGGATTTTAAAAACAGGCAGCCAGGCTACCAGCAGAACTCAAATGCAGGTCTGCTGACTTTTCAGTGAGAACAGGAGCAGAGAAAAAGATCAAAAAGCAAACTTGAAATCTATCACAGCTTTCTTCCTTAGGCAAAAAAAAAAAAAAAAAAAAGCAAATTAGTTTTATAGCCACAATTCAGTTTTCCAAACTTTTTCTGAAGAATTTTCATTTAATTATGTACACATAACAGGAAATAAAACTTCTTCACAAACATTCCCAAAGCTTACAATTATCAAGAAAATGACAAAAGTAAAAGCAGGAAAAATACTAATCACATGGTGGGGAGGTCAATTTCTGTTTCTGCTCTTAAAAAGTAAAAAAATCACCATATAATTAAGTACAAAAACCTGCATTGAATGACAACTGCTGGTGTAGTTACTTGATCGGAAATAAAGACCAAGAATATAATAAAGCCCTATGATAATATTCGTCTGGAACACTCCCTCGGTGTGTGTGCACTAAAATGTTGGCAAAGTTTTTGGAGCATTAGCTTATATAAACACGGGAGTCCTTGGGTAGCTGCATTAAATGGAACATTCTCTTCTGAAATGCACCCACAATTCAGTTTCACTTACAAACTGCAAATTAAAATTATTTCTTCAGAAAAATATCTGTTTGGCATCTCCTGGACTTTGTTCCATTGGACAATATGGACACTTTAATCTAAAGAGAAGGGGGAAAAAACACTGAATGAGAGAACAGGATCAGTACTGAGCATTCAACTTCACATAGTTATAACGTCTTTCTAACAATTACATACACAGACTGACAAACACACACAAACGTGTCTGTATTTTGAGGATGAGCTGTGCTTTCTCTTAATATAACAGCCAAGCTTTGGAGGGTCACAAATAAACTCCACCTAAGCCAGACCCTAAACTGAAAGGCTCTTCTTCAGTGGAAATCAGTAAAAACTGTTTTGTACACAAAGAAAAGACACCTGTTCTGCATATTGCTTTGGGAATTTTCAGAAGTAAATCCAATTTTTCTTCTCCAAGATTTAGGCTGCACCTGTCTGTCTCGAAATGAGTTTCAAATCTACTGGTCACACAACCCACTCAAGTGCAGCAAATCTGATGCCAGCTGCTGAGCCTACAAAGTATGTAGCTACCAAGAGCAGCTGACATGCCCTGCAGTGGGGCACACAGCCAGCATGGCTGCATGGTCTGGGAAGGGCACAAATGCCTGTGTTGCATGCCAGAGCCTCCTCTTAAAGAAAGACTTCACCACAATGGGTCTGAAATAAACTCCAGTGAGCAACTTTCTAGCTGCCTGCGCTAGAAATAAGCTTTTGAAATGTTTTTAATAAAAAGTTGGACTCATAATGTATAAAAAGCATAAGTATATATACCCTTTGAATCAGCAATTTCAATTCTATGAATTTATATACAGCGTATAGATAAGGTAATTCACTTTACAGTAACCAAAGTTAAATGCTCATCAATAAGGAACTGGTTTCATGATCATTATTTCCACATGGTAGATTAATCTGCAGTTTTAAAGAGAGAATGAGGACTCTTTCGGTAGCATATACTAGTATAAGATCTCCAGGACACAGCACTGACAGAACAGTATATAGTATGTATGCTACATGCTACCATTTGTGTAAAAGGGGGACGAGGAGTTGACATTGTATCACCTACCCAAAAGGCGCTAAAGACCATGCTTATAAATCTGGTCACCAAATTCACCAACAAATTAAAAAGACTGACAAAAAAATCAGATGCCACCCACTACGCCAAATGAGTACTTATAAAATCTATTTACTTTTAAAGTCTAGCAACATTTATTTACCCTCATTACTTCACTTCCCACTAAGTTACAAAAGAAAAAATTTCACTAACGTTTAAAAAGTCAGATACTTACTTGCTACCATTAAACATTTTATTCAGGGCATCTCTTGATATGATATGACCACAGACCAATTTCATGGGTGGGTTGCTATCTGTTGTTTGCTGACGAAGAATGGGACAGGCGAATATGGAGTGATACCAGCACTTTTTACCGAGGTCCACTTCAATCTGTTAAAGAAAAGTGAAAGGCTCGTTACAGCTCAAACATCTTCACAAGTATGCACTGTGCAGCCAAGAACATTGCTAACACCTACTCCTCTGATCCTACCTCTCACAACACTCTTCTAACTCGAGAGGGTCAGTCTTAGGGATTCTAGCATTATTCATAATTCTATATTAACCTTCAAAATTGCCTTTTTTTCATAGAATTTTTATGAATTTATTTGAGCCAAACTGATGACAACGGCAGGGAAGCAAAATCTCATCGGATTGAGAAAATGCTTCCATCTTAAATTATATATAACACTACTTTTAAGCTAAATTCTGATGTCTGAGAGTTAAGAGTTAAAGGCAAATCAATGTTCTAGAACAGTGATGGCGAACCCATGACACGCGTGTCAGAGGTGACACGCCAACTCATTTTTTGGGTTTATTTTTCTTTGTTAAATGGCATTTAAATATATAAAATAAATATCAAAAATATAAGTCTTTGTTTTACTATGGTTGCAAATATCAAAACATTTCTATATGTGACACGGCACCAGAGTTAAGTTAGGGTTTTTCAAAATGCTGACACGCAGAGCTCAAAAGGTTCGCCATCACTGTCCTAGAAGTTAAACACTCTTGGAAATTCATTAGATGCACCTAACAGTAAAACCCATCAGAAATCCTGACTGTTTTGCAGCACACTTAACTAGATGATAAAATTCAGTGTATTCATTCCTTTAAAAGCAAACTAAACATGGTTTGCTTCCGTGTGAGCTTCAGATCCAAGTCTCCCGTTTTGTGTAGAATGGCCCAGAGAAACCACCTGTAACAAGGGCTTGAAGCTAAAGTTCAGCAGGACTTTTCACAATCACAGCCCCAGTATTGCTCTTTGCAGTGAACAAAACAAACAAAAGCTAGGAAGTTACCTAACAGGGGTTGATATTTGGCAGGGGCTCCACAAATGGTTATTCTGTTTTCTTCCTTCTAAATCGACAATGGCTATCAATATAAAAGTCTATTACCCGGACTCTTTCAAGAAAGTTGACCAAGTGTAACAGAAGAATCCTGAGAAAAAATGGCCAGACCATCACTTCCAAGTGCTGTATTACCCTGACACACAGGCTTTAGGTGAATTCAGACTTCGGCAGGCTCTTTCCTAGCGCACAAGCAGCAGAGGTGCTTACAGGTAACTGGGAAACTCCCAGCATCCTGCGGGCACTTGCCTCAGCAAAGCAAGCGAAGGCTCAGTTCTCTCCGCTTGCTCCAACGTGCAGCAGTCAAACAGGGGTGCTGCTGGTGCCCTGATCACACGCAGGGCTGGGAATGCACCTGTGCTTCAAATCAAACCAGATCTCCGAGGAGAAGCTGGGCAACCAACCAACAGTTACCAGCTGGAAGAGCAGGGTAACTGCAGATAAACCTGTGCACAGGTGGCAGAAAAGAGACAAAAGCCAAAAGCACGTTTTTGCCCTTCAGGGTCTTGACAGAACCATGCAGGGATAATTCCAAAGTTGTGGTATCTGTCAGAGGCCGGTGGAAATACCACTACAGTGACCTCTGTCACTCCCTGTAGGCAAAACGTGAGTACCTACTACATGTCCCATGTTATTCTAAGTATATCTATGTTGTCTCTAGCCTTTAATAGTCCCAAAAGAGAAGGACGGTCCCCATTTCAGAAATGGAGAAACTACTTGGGGAAGGTGGAAAGCTGGCAAGGGACTAAAACTGAGGCTTAAAACCACGGCCTGCTCCAGGCAGCAGAGGACACACGGCACTGAAGGGCCACTGAGGACTGCAGAGGTCACAAGGACGACCTTTAATCTAATAGCTATGTACTTATTTTGAATGGTATTAGACAAATATAACCAGCTCAAACCCATGATTTCATAAATATCAATGCTTAAGATAAAACTAAATCCAATCAAAATGACTCACTGCTCTTATATTTAAAAGAAAACTGTAGCACCACTGGTTTGCCATGTGCAGAGCACTATGTATACTACAGTATATCCCACCCTCCCCACTTCTGACGTCTCCTTCATTAGCTTTCTTTTCTAAAGAATCGTGTATTGATTTTAGAGAGGGGGAGGGAGAAGAGAGAAAACATTGATATGAGAGCATAACATCAACCTACTGCCTCCTGCACGACCCCCCACCAGAGATCGAGCTTGAAACCCGGGTATGTGCCCTGACTGGGAACTGAAAGAGCGACCTTTAGGTGCATGGGACAACGCCCAACCAACTGAGCCACACCGGCCAGGGCCTTCATTAGCTTTCACTGCCAAAGTCAAACTTTTAAGAAAACTCCTCCAGTGCCTCCAAAACATACTTGCTCCCATTTCTATTATTTAATCATGTCACCATATACATCAAAGCATCCCTGTCAAATGGCTACAATAATGTTCCCCAGTTAAAAGGCAAGACTGGCATTCTAAACCCTTAACATTCACATTCTTCTAATGACAGGAAAAGTAAACAATCAAGAGAAAATGGAACTCACGGGCAATTCATCTTTCTGGTTCCAAACTCCAGTGCACTGCCTCTGCTCAATCACAGCTTTAATGTTAATTAAAGCTGGCAGCGCCACGCAACCTGCTGAGAAACTGGGAGACAGAAGAGGAAATGTCAATGCCAGGCCAGTGCCAGACAGCTTGGTCCCAGAAATGTCAATTCCTCGAGACTCTGTGCAGAGGACCCTGGCGTTTGGCAGGGCACAGAGCCCTCTGCTCTGCTAAATTAGTGTGTGTGCGCACGTACACACATAAATAGGTTTTAAATTGTACAGAACCACCCGATTTAATGGGCCCTACCTATCCGTCATTAATGACACTCCTAACATTAATGACATTCTAAGACATTTTCTTACACTGTTCCTCCTAGACCCAGATCACCCCCGTTTAGGGCACAAGTGTTGGCAGTCAGTTCTCAGCTGGCCCTCTTCAGGATTGCCCTAAGCTGACGAAAGCCACCTGACTAGGGTCATATTCAATGAATGCTCTGCATGGATACAAATGCCCAGCCCTGCTGTCCCAATGTGAGCCAACTCCACAGGCCCACCAGAGCTCCAGAGCTCCTCAAGGATGGCTGAGGCCTTTGGTCAGGCTGCATCACATACATCCCAACTTTTCCTCTGCCCAATCATGCTGCTTTCATCCCCCCACAGGGGCTGATCCCAATAAACTTCTTCATGTCAATCTCTACCCATTGCAGAGGCTGTTCCCCAGACAACCTGACCTGTAGCATGGCCATGCATTAGAGTTAATTGCACAAGTGTCTCCTACACTCAGATGGTACACCCTATGGAGCACAGATTGTACCTTATTTATCTCTGTGTCCCACACATTACCTGGCACATAACAGGATTAAAAACACTTGAGGAGGCCGGCTGGTGTGGCTTAGTGGTTGAGCGCCAACCTATGAACCAGGAAGTCATGGTTCAATTCCCAGTCAGGGCACATGCCCAGGTTTCAGGCTCAATCTCCAGTATGAGTCATGTAGGAGACAGCTGATCAATGATTCTCTCTCATCATTGATGTTCCTATCTCTCTCTCCCTCTCCCTTCCTCTCTGAAATCAATAAATATCACTTGAGGAATTAAATGAAAAGAAGAGCTAAAAAAGTTACTTTCTTAAAATAGGTTCTTCAGCTTTTTGGTTTCAGGTCCTCTTTACATGCTTAAATATAAAGGATATGAAAGAGCATTTTTTTTGTGGATTATATCTATCATCACTTAGATTAAATATCAGAAATTAAAATCAAGAAAATTTTAAAATATTAATTCATTTAAAAGTAATAAACTTATTATGCTATAAATAACATCTTTACCCCAAACCCCCTATTTCCAAGCTAAAAGTCTGTCTGTGAGAAGAGTGGCATTGCTTTACACTTTTATAAATCTCTTTATTGACTGGTTTAACAGAAGGCAACTGAATTCTTAACTCTTCCTCTGCACTCAATCTGTGGCAAAGGGTTCTTCTGGTTGAAATAAATGATCCAGCCTCAACAGACATGTAGTAATTTAATTGGCTTTTCAGATCAGTGTGGATATTCTTCTTTAATGCCACACAAAACTCAACAAGCAGTAGTTTCTTAATGGTCAGCTGTACCGTGGAACCTGAATCCTTACCACTGAATTTTGTACACTGAGCTACATTCAAATCCAATGTATGTCTTATACTCAGAGTGATTCGTTTACTCAATGTATGACTTTGTAAGCTTATACTGAATTAAGATCTTCAAAGTATTAATTCATCTAATTATATAATACTAGAGGCCCGGTGCACAAAAATTTGTGCACTCAGGGGGAAGGGAGGGTCCCTCAGCCCCGCCTGTGCCCTCTCCCAGTCTGGGACCCCTC